AGCACAAATGAGATGGTAATAAAAGTTACCTGAAGAATAAGAGAACAAATATTAAGTTTGAAGAAGCAAATGGTATCAGAACGCAATCGTAGGAAATCCCAAAAATGCAGACGCAAGCCTTTATATAGCAAGAAAAATCCCATGAACCGCCGCCAGAAACTGAAGCAGCACAGTAAGCGAAGAGTCACATTTTGAAATTCAAAAACACAACTGTCATTAAAGCGATAGTTACCGTGCCTCCTAGCTACTATCCTTAGACTTATAGAGACCAGATGGGCAAATTTTTAAGGCCAACTATCTCCTAACTAAATACATACCTTTAGCAAAGGCCACATCTCACTCGGTAACGGATTTTTTAGGACCATCTTCCTCTCTGAGCACAACTTAGCTCACACGTCCTCCCGACTGGCTGTACAGGTAGAACGATTGATTATTATCGAGCATAAATACCATGAATGAGAACCCGGACATAAATATCCTGATATTTTCAGGGGGGACATGTGGTAAACATTGATTTTATCAAGATTTGAGGCACTCAGCATAACAGAATTGGGGATATGGGCGTGATTTTAGGAGATAATGACTGGATTTTACTCTCCTGTATTCACGTAACCTACCTCATACTCTTATCATGTATATAAAGAAAAATCTTCTTGGTGAAAAGGGATGCCATTTTTTCTTAAAAAGACCTAATACAACTAAAAGACTATTGCTTGTTCTACTATAATAATTTTGTGACTATCAGTAACCTCAAATAAATGATTCTAATTTTGATTCAAGACTTTATGTATAGAGAAAATTCGTTTAGGAGAGGTCCTTATTTAGAGAACCCAACTATATTTTGAAGAGGTTAATTTTTATCTTCCAACCAAAAGATACTCTTGATATACCGAAAAAATAAAAATGCATTTAAATATTTATCGAAAATGAAATGTCCATAAACTATATCCTAAGAAAAATCGATGGAAAGGAGTAAAATTTTTAACTTTATCTTTCGTATGAATTTTCCATTTGAATTCTAATCTTTTTTTTCTATATAGGGAAAAGATTTAGAGTTGTGTTTTATATATAAAATAATAAAAATAAATATAATATCAAATTTAAATTTCAATATTTCTTACATTTGAAAAAAAAAAATTCAAATGATTATATGTAGTATATCTATAAAAGTAAGAATTTAGGAAATATATAAATTAATTAATAAATATTGGCATAATCTATATTTACAAAAAGACTTCTAATATTTGTTTAGAATAAAAATTATTTATATTATCATAAAGGAGCCTTTTTCATAGTTGTAAATAGTTTCTAATTAACATAAATTGTTTGCTAATTACTATATTCTTAATTTTTCCTATTTAATTTTATTGGATGCCTAATTGACATAGATTACTTCCTAAATAATAATATTTTTAAATTTTCTATTTAATTTCATCAAATTTATAGGATATATAAAAGTACGAATGAGAGGCGAAAATTGGGTTCCTCCTGGACTAAAAAAAATATCTTGAAAAATTTAAATTCTATTGGTTGAAAAAGTAAAGGTAAATTAATTTTGATTAGTTATGAGTTTTTCTATTTAAATATAATTTCTTTAATTAGTATATTTAAATATAAAACTTTATATGCAATTATGTTATTGCAAAATGCGACTAAAATTTTTATTTTAAATAATATATCATTTTATATATAAAACTTTTAATATGCAATTATGTTATTGCAAAATTGCGACTAAAATTTTTATTTTAAATAATATATCATTTTATATTATATTTAATTTTTTTAAATATGATAAGATTATGATAAAACATATGATAAAAAATTTATATGCAATTATGTTATTGCAAAATGCGACTAAAATTTTTATTTTAAATAATATATCATTTTATATATTATTAATTTTTTAAATATGATAAGATTATGATAAACATATGATAAAAATAAAATTAATTATATCAAACAAGACTAACTGATTACATAAATACTATTTACGATTTGTATTGATCATATTATTTCATTACTAAAGTTTATTATTACGTTTGATTAGTATAAATAAATAATTAATATTTATTTACAATAAATATATTTTATTAAGAAAAAGTTGATACATATTTATTTACAATAAATTCTATTAAGATTAAGTTGATAATATATTATTTTTATATACTATAAATTATATTATTCTTAATATTATAAATATACTAAATTAACTATATATTAGGAATTAATTTCACTAAAGTATGAACTACAGGGGTAATCACTTAATGTGATATCAACTTCAATTTGTTACTTAAAAATACATAAGCAAATGTTTTTGTAACAGTAAAATGTTTTTTTAATGTAATTGAAATTTTCTGTTGGCTTGAATGTCATGTAGTTAACATTTGGCCTTTTTTTAAAATGAAATTCTATTTTAATTTTTCTCTCTTTTTCAACTCAACCTCCCCCTTCAATCCCTCCCTTTCTCTCTCTCTTTTTCTTTTGCTTTGTGAACCTTAAATCAATATCTCCTTCTCTTTCATCTTAATAAACAAATTGTACAAGAGGTATAATAATCATTTGACTGTCATTGAAGAACCTCTTCTAAAGCTTAAACATCTCACCCCACTTCTCCTTCCACTTCAACTATCTTTTTGGAAACTTAGTTCAAATCTTTTTTTTCTATAACAAGTTTTGATTGAATTTTAGTTTTCTTCAAATATTTTTGCTCTGGTTATGGATCCACTTTTTAGATTCCAACCTAAATTTAGTCACACTTTAACAGTTAATCAATGGGCCACTGAAAAATGTTATCTCTTTCACAGATCTTCAATTTTTTTTTTACTGTACTCTTTTAATTTCCATATAAAAATCAATTTCTATTCATGGAAACCATACTGTTTGATCTTCTGGAATTTGGGTTCACGAAAAATCAATCTTCATTAGATTTTCATATCAAAATCAATCTTCACCATACTTGGGCATTAATCCGGCAATGGCTAAAGCAGAAAGGAAAGAAAAGAAATAGGATAAAAAATGAAGAGAGATAAAAAAGAAAAGTAAGAAAAAACAAAGGGAGAGAGAGAGAAAAAAAAAATGAAAGGAAAGGAAATAAAAGAAATAGGAAAATAGAGGTAAAAAAGGAGAGAGAGAAAAAAAAAGGAGAGGGAGAAAAAATATGAAAGGAAAGGGGGAGCATATGATTGTGTCCTCAGACTGTTAAAAGAAAAATGCACAAATAAGAGATGTAATATAGAAAGAAAAATACAATGGTATTTATTTAATGAGAATTGAAAAGAAAATAAGAGGAATAGAAAGGAAAAGAGTACGAATTGCAGAGAGAGAGAGAGAGGTGAAGGAGGTGGTTGAGTTGGAATAGAGAAAAATTAGAAAAGTATTTTCATTTAAAAAAAAAAAAAACTATATGTTAATACATGGCATTTAGCCAACGGAAAATCTCAATTGCATTAAAAGGCATTTTACTGTTATAAAAATATAAAATTAGATATTTTAAAGTAACAAATTGAAATTGGTCTACCATTAAGTGATTACCCTTATAATTTAGGCCTTTCAGTGAAATTAACCCAAAGAATAGGGCAGCAACACATTTTTGAGAAAGAATGCACATGAGAGAGAAAAAAATTATAAGAGAAGTTTCATATCTTTCTCAACTTACGTGACATTAAAAACACAATAAATAGCTGAGCTGGTGTGCCACATCAGCTTTTCGGTGCTTCCTCATTGGAAATCAAATAAAAGGGATTTTCTTATTATACAAATCGAAGTTAATGAATTTTTCTCTTACAAATTAAATTCAAGGGAATGCGTTGTGATGATGCCTACAGTTGAGATATGTCGAGTGAAATTAAGCCAATTCCGATTTTATTACATATTATACAAATAAAAAATATTAATTTGAAAAAAATAATTTTGTTATTACTTATTTTAATGAGGTAAATAAAATAAAATTATAATATAAATACATATTAGTTATAATCTCATATGAAAAAAACATTTGAAAGTGTTTGGTTAGTTTATAGCTAATTAACGTCTAACAGACATAATGTAGGTAGATGTGTCAAAATGGATCTTGACATGAAAAACAATTTATCTAAGATGAAAATTAAGCAGGTTGGGAATGTGTTTAAATGGGTTTGTGTAATTAAAGGATGATTTGTATATGCACAAGTTAACTCACCTTCTAACATGTTTAATTAAGAGTAAAAATGTAATTTCATATGCAATATATTTACCAAGCGAGCTGTACGTGTTATGCTTGTTGGATCTTCTAACCCCCTATATGATTCATTTATTTAAAATGATTGAATTTCTTTGATACGTATAGAACTCTTTAATTAAATTTGTTATATGTATGATGTTCATATCACTCATTTAATTTTCAAGTTGTATTCATGTTTAAATATTCGACACGATTATTAAGTCGGTTGTATTTGTTTTTTACTACGATCATATCGAGTGTTAGGTCAACATATCAATCCATTTTAATATCCTTAATTACAGGTATTTGGTAAACCTTTTAGCGAGCAACTCATAATTGATAAAATTCTCAATTAACTGTTGACTCCGTTAACATGTTTTGAAAATTTTTTTCTTATTAATTGAAACACGTTTTTAAACTTTTTTTTACGAAACAATAATGTATTTGTACTTAATTATATTTGAATTTTATTAAGCTCATAAAAAATTGCATATAAAATTATTTTTTTAAAATTAATATTTTTTATAGTCATTTTATTTAAAGTTATTTTAAAATAATAATATTCTATAAATATTTTAAAAATTTTAATTAATATTTTTGTTTATATAATATATTGAAATAATAACAAATACATTAATTTTAAATATTAAAAAACATATAGCGTTATTAATTATAATATATAAAAAAAATTATAATAGCTGAGATCAAGGTTACGTAATTATCTTCTTAAAAAAAAAAAAAGAATTAGAATCTTTGATTTCATTGAGCAAATTTGTGGACAACTGAATATACTAAACAAGAACGCAAGGTCGGCCTGCAGAGTGTACCATCATAGACGATTCCAGCCTTGACAGTTGCAGCAAGCAACTATTTTCGCGTGTAGTTTAACCCCACATTTCTCAATAAATTCTCACTACAAACCCCAACTGAAAAGCAGGCCGTGCTCTGCTCTCTTTCGTCTCATCTTTATCAGATCATTTCATCTATCAAATCCCCCAAAATTCTCCCTTTCTAAACCAATAATTGATATCTGAATCATTTGATTAATGGGTTTCGAAGGAGAAGAAGAATCGGCCCCGAAATTACCTAAACAATCCATTTTTAGGTACAATTCTCCACTAGTCCAGGTCAGTCTTATCGGTTTAGTGTGCTTCTGTTGTCCGGGAATGTTCAATGCTCTCTCCGGCATGGGTGGTGGTGGCCAAGTTGACCAAACCGCGGCCAACAACGCTAACACCGCTCTTTATACCACTTTTGCGGTCTTTGGCATTTTAGGTGGTGGAATCTACAACATCTTGGGTCCTCGCCTCACTCTCGCCGCTGGTTGCAGCACTTACGTCTTATATGCTGGTTCTTTTCTCTATTACAATCATCACAAACATCAAACTTTTGCCATCGTCGCCGGAGCCATACTTGGTATCGGAGCTGGACTACTCTGGGCCGGAGAGGGGGCAATTATGACATCTTACCCACCACCAAATCGTAAAGGAACGTATATTTCACTTTTTTGGAGTATTTTCAACATGGGTGGTGTAATCGGTGGTTTAATTCCATTTATTCTCAATTACCACCGAAACGAGGCTGCTTCCGTTAACGATGCAACTTATATCGGTTTCATGTGCTTTATGTCAGCCGGAACACTGTTTGCCTTGGCCATTTTGCCGCCTAGCCAGGTTGTCCGCAACGACGGAACCAGATGCACTCATATCAAATACTCTAATGTCTCAACAGAGGTTGTCGAGATTATGAAATTGTTTCTCAACTGGAAAATGCTTCTGATAGTACCGGCCGCTTGGGCTAGCAATTTCTTCTACACCTATCAATTTAATCATGTAAATGCAGCGTTATTCAATTTGAGAACCAGAGGATTGAATAATGTATTCTACTGGGGAGCTCAGATGTTGGGTTCTATTGGAATTGGATATGTACTGGATTTTAGTTTCCAAAGTAGAAGAATGAGGGGATTTGTTGGAATTGGGATTGTTGCTGCTCTTGGAACTGCAATCTGGGGAGGTGGTCTCGCTAAACAGCGTGGGTACTCCCTCAATAATCTGCCGCCCAAGTTGGATTTCAAGGATTCTGGGTCCGATTTTGCTGGCCCTTTTGTTCTGTACTTTAGTTATGGGTTGCTAGATGCCATGTTTCAGAGCACGGTTTACTGGATTATCGGAGCCTTGGCTGATGATTCTGAGATCCTAAGCAGGTAAATTTATTGGAAGTTGAATTGCAAATTGAAATCTGAGTATCTCATGAGAAGCTTGACTCAATTAATTTATGGCAGGTACGTTGGATTCTACAAGGGAGTGCAAAGTGCAGGAGCAGCAGTTGCTTGGCAAGTTGATACAAACAAAGTTCCAATGCTATCGCAGCTAATTGTGAATTGGTCGCTCACTACAATAAGTTATCCATTGTTGATTCTACTAGTAATGCTGGCTGTCAAGGATGACCATAACAAGGACACAGTGACATATACCAATGAATTGGCCAATCCTGCACCAGCAGAAGACTCCACCAAGCCAATCTAGTGGTTATGAATTTATAATGTGCCATTTCTGCAGTTAAAATGAAAGAGTATTTGCAATTTTTAGGTCAAGTGTTAGTATTCTGATGTTTCTCATGTTTATTTGATCTTCTTCTGACATTAGAATTAACTGATTTGCGTGTGCTTTATGTTCTTCACCATACATGGAATATTTGTACCTGTAATACTAATTTTGATCCAGTCAGGCAAGTATAATAATCCAGTCCAGCTGGCCCGTTGGAATTGTGTGTGACCTTGCTTATTTCAAGCAAACTATGATATGCAAAAGAAAAAGGTTCACCTAATTAAGAATAATTCTCATTAATTTTCTTTTTTTTTTTTTTTTTAGGAAAAAAAGAAACAAAAAACTCATTAAGACATGAATATGAATAGTTATATAAATCACAATTAAATGATTACAATTGGCTAGGATTAAGTTTGAAATAGGTTAATAGGTGGGTTAATTTCATCGGTTGTACCTACATCATACAGAGGTAATCACTTTTTGTACCTAAAATTTAATTTGTCACATAAATATATATTAACTTTTATTGAGAAAACAACAAATGAGAAATGACTTGATAACCTATTAATAGAAGAGCATGGAGGTTTTCAATGCTCAGTTAAGCTTTTTCATTCTCTTCCTCCTTTTTTCTCTCTCCTACCATCATCTTAAAATAAATTGGTTTTTTGAATAGAATGACCCACTTGATGATACTCCTTTCTAAGTCAATTTTTTGACTTGAGATATGGATCCACTTAAGCCATAAAAAGAGTCGTCAACCAAAGGGGATTTTCCAACCACGATAAAAAGCCGCCTTCACATAAATATACACTCATTGCGTTTTATTTGTAAGAAAAAGTCAAAATTTGTCCTATATTAAGGATGTGGTCTATTTTCTTAATAGAAATAATTATAATCATACCCTTATATTTTGCTAAAAAAAATTATTTTATCCTTATTTTTTTTAAAAAAATATATCATTATACCTTTGTATTTTGAAACCATCATACTAAATTGTCATTCTATCGAATATTTGCAGTTTTAGACATTAAATCCAAACGAAATGATACAACTGACCTTAATTCCACCTATCTGAATCTCTAACTTCTCTCCTCCTTCAAAACTTCCTCAAACCAAATGTCTAGATCGATTTTCAAGATTATCAATTTCAAATATTTTGCTCTAATCTCTCAAACTATTTCTTTATATTTCTTTTTCTGTTTCAATCCAAACCCATCACTTAAACAACCACCCATTAATCAACAATCACAAATGCAATCGAAAGGAAGAAGAACATCAAAACTGAAATCATTGAATTACAAGCGATTTTAATTCTCTTGGAAGTGTTCCAAAAAGATTTCTTCTTCATCTAGATTTGGATTGACAAAACTTAAATCCAGTGAGTGTGAAAAATCCAGTTCCTTTGTTGTCGCCACCAGTGATTCCATGGCATCTTCATGAATTCTTTTTTATTTTTATGAATTTTTATCTTTTTCGTTTTTTATTAATCTGATGCTTTGTTTTTTTTTCCTTTTTTAATTTTTTTTTCAATTCTGAAATTGGTGCTTGTGTGTCATTGTTGCTTCTGTATTTGCTTTAGGAAGGTATAAGACACCAAGTTTTTTTATATGCTTTTGTAATTAACTGAAGAATTGTAATTAATTGAAAAACGATATGAACGACATTTGGGAACAAGCAGGTGAGAACGATGAATATGAAGAGGAAGAAGATATTTCAGGAAAAGAATTTCCTTCTCTCTCTTTAGACCGTTAAGTTTTCCTTTGACTTGTACTATAAAATTGTAAATATTGGACAGAAGGATAATCTAATATAACGGGCTCAAAATATAAGGATATAATAGTTTATTTTTAAAAATATAAGGGTAAAGTAGTTTTTTTTTTTTTGGTAAAATAGAAGGGTATGGCTATAATTTTTCCTTTCCTAATTTGCCCTTGAAAACACAATTCCAATAAAAAGAGTGATGATAATAAGAGGAAATGATAAATGATGAGAGAGATGATAAGTTACTTAAATGAATAGTTTTATTTACTTAGACCTCCAACAAAACAAAAATGTCACAGTTAATGCTCTTCACTCCTCCCTATGAGTGCATTTAGTAGGGATTGAATCCACGAATTCTTTCCACATATTCAACCTGTATTGCCAACTGAGCCACAGCCGGTAGGTATATTTGCAATACTTAAGTTGTCTATAAAGTAAATTTGTTTATAGGAATCAAATTGTAAATGTACACAACTATAAGTAAATATAAATTGGCACAATAATTTTGATTTAAGCACTATCATTTGAAAGGAAATTTTCCTTCGTTTTGAATTTATTAGAGATGTGTGTAAATCTCACTATATGTGCACACTTAATTATTAAGCATAGACATAAATTGTGTATATAATTTAAACTATGCTTGCAACTGCAAAATTTAATCTGTGCGCATAATGTGAAGAAGTTCTCATTTTCTTAATGCATGGTTCAGTCTCTTTTGGAACATTAATTGCCCAACCACAATAATGTCTGTCACTTTTTTGAAATTCTCCAAAAGTCAATGTTTACACTAAAAATCAAACAAGTGGATATTAGACCTCTCACTTTAGCATTAGTCCCAAAGTTACCATTTTAAGTAACTTTCTCTATATAAATAGAACGTCATAAAAATTTTTTTTCTCTATATAAATAAAACGGAGGGAGTACCAATTTTAGATAAATATAAAACTTAAAATTCCCCTCTCAAGATTTTTTTTTCATTTTTCTTAATTTCAAATTCTTTCCTTTAGAAGGGGCTTTTAATTTAATATTTATAAAACAGAAAAAAAATTTCATCCCAACACAACAAGGAAGCAAATCCTCTTTTTGCCATTAGCTAGCATCAATTCTCAAAGAAAAATTTCTTTGAATTCCCAAGCAACCAAACAAAAACCTCTCTATATTCAAAGGAGACCACTAAAATGTTAAACTAAAATCTAATTCCAGGAAAAAGTACCAAAAAAAGAACAAAAATAAGCAATTAAAATGTCAGCTTCACCTCCACCATCGCCAACACCTTCACCATTATCTTCCCAAAAAGAAGAACAAGATCGACCAAAGTAGACATATATGAGAAATAGAAGAACTCCAAAGCTAATATAACAACGAAACTTCCACTATCGCATCTATAGTGGCCTATGCCAATGCTCCAAAGCTCACTGCTCCCTCGATTTCTCTCTCTGCTGTCTCAATCCCTCTTTTTGTTGTTTTGATCCATTTCTCCATAGTTTCTACACTTTCTCGGCCGTTTCAACTCCCTTCCCAACTATATCATATCCAATTGGCAAAAAGTACAAATAAGGACAATTAATAATAGAATCAAAATTGAATCAAGAACTCTTTATCCAAATTGAAAGCCCAATTCACAGAAAAATAAGAATTGCAAAACCTAATTGAAAAGAAGGTTAGTGATAAAATCAACATTGAATAAAAACCTCATTATTTAAATTGAAACCCAATTCACAAAAAAAATAAGACAAAGATTGGGAATTAAAAAGAAATTAGAAATAAGGCAACATAAAGGATGGGGGTACTTTGGTGGGGATGTGGTGGTTCTAGAAAACTATCATGTAGACACTATGTCCTTAGTTAGGATAGATAAAAAGCTACAGGATGAAGGGTTTGAGGGTTTAATGAGATATTATTATAGATAGCCTTCTAAAGACTTCAAAGATGAACTTAGAAAATTAGAAAAAGATATTGATGTTTATGAGATGTCCTTTATGGTAATGATGTAGGACTAATAGACCTTTATGTTGAACATTTAGGTATAGAGGACATTGAGAGGGTAATTAATAAGTATAGGAGAGGCTGCGTAATTATATAAGAGATTGTTGAGGAAAGACAAAATGCCCCTTCCCAGCAACCTCCTAGGAAAGGTAGTAGAAGGAGTAAAAGAAATAGAGAAAGAGAGGGGAATCTAGTGGAAGTAATAACCAAAATGTGGAAACTTTAGGGGAATCTACCAATCTCAAAATTTTCCCTAGATTTGACTTAGGTAATTTGGAACTCAATGAATAATTTGAGTTTAACTTGAGGGAGGAGAGGGACCCAAGGATGATGACCAGGAGGGTGATGATGAGAGGGTTGAAGTAAGGGATGATGGAGTAGGCATGGAGGGTCAAGAATGTGAGGAAGGAGAGTTTTTAGATAATGGATACAATATAGAGGAGGGTGATGAAGATTTTCGGCAGGTAATGAATGATAGTCAGAGAGAGAAAGGATCAAAGGAGGTTTGGATGCTTCATCAATACAGTAGAGCAATTTGACAGAAAGCAATGCATCACAAGAGATACCAACACAACAATCAAGGACTGCTGTAAGGAAAAGGGCTCTAAGAGTAAGAAAAAAATAAGCTACAAATGCAAGGTAATCTTGAATGTGAATTGGCAGGATTTTTTGTTTATATTTAAGATGAAATACATAGGGGAATAATTTTTTGATATTTTGTAATTATCCTTACACAATGGCACTACTTTTTTTATGATTATTTTGTACTTCAAAAGTGAAACTTGCTCACATGTTTGGTTTCACTTTTGAATTATCCATATATTGTGCTTGAACACTTGATGTGGTATATATTTTTTTGGAATGTCACAATAGTAATGAAAGTATTTCGCAATTCTCAATTCTCTTTTTGGAATTCAATTTTACATATCGGAATTGATGGATTTTATTTAACAATGGCTTACAAACTATTATAGGTGTCTTTACATTAATAATGGTTCCATAATTTTAATGCCTCTAATATACTATTATGTATCTAATATTGCATGAAGAATTTACCATAAAAAAGCTCTAATTTCTTTAGATTTATAAACATACACAATCATCAAGTACACAAAATGCAGTTATGAATTAAACCTTTCTAACACATACCCTAAATCCAATTGCAAGCCTCCCTACTTGTATATTACACCCACAACAAAGCTACAAAATATTAACAGAATAAAAACACAAGTGGCAAGCATCAAATATAAGAATTTCATCTTCTTATTTCTCTCTTTAGCCTCTTCCTCCTTCTTCTCCAATCTATCAAACTTTCTCAATAATTCAACAATCACGATTTTTGAGCGTGGGTTTATAACTAGATCTAACCATTCCATAAAACGATAACAATTGGGTGTCTGTAACCAAAATAAATCCATTTCAACCAATCATTTCAAAACTCAAAACTAATAAATTAAAGAATTAGAAAAATAC